CAGTGGTGCGATAAATGTTTTTGTAAATACATGTTTGCACACCCTGTCAGCATATCTACCGGGTAAACTCTGAGCAGTGGAGTTGCTGGCCAGAGAGAATGTGCATTACACGGAGGCTGTTGCTAACTCACCCTTCCGTAAGAAGCAAGTAAATGAGAAAGCCTGTTCCCCCCACTCGCCCCCCCTAACATAGGCTGTTGTCAAACTCAAATTCATGTCCACCTGTCAGGTGAAAACTGGCATCTCATTGTTTTGATTTGGATTTTGTGTTTTGTTTTTTTTACATAGATTGACTGTCCTGTTTTTCTGTTGAAAAGACTATTCCCGGGAATGTCGCAGAATGAAGAATTCTAGCTATTTCCAAAGAGTGGAATGCGATGACTATAAGCTAGAGAACCAGCGTGTTTTCCTTTCAGTTTTCCCAGTTTTGTGTTGTATGCCACCTCTCCGTAGCTCATGCATGTCATTCACTTAAAAATACCTGTTCTCTACCCAACACCAATGGGCGTTGTCCCTGAAAAGGCAGGTTTTGTTAGATGGGGACACATGTTTGGGTCTCCGTTGGTGGACCTGTTCACTAGGGTAATAAATCCAAATCATAAAAATTGACCAATGCTTCTCCACGAATGTCTATTTTTCCAGTTTTTCAAAATAAAATAGTCTCAACTTTCTGTTAAACAAGTGGAATTTTGTTCCTATTTTATTGTTGTTCAATTACAGGGGTCCCCATTTCCCCCATTACTCTCCCTGCCCTGCACCTCCCACATTCAGTCCCTCACCCCTGTCCCGTTGTCTTTGTCCGTGGGTCCTTTGTACAAGTTCCTCGACTTGACTCCTTCCCTCTCCCACCCATTATTTATTAACCACGAGGCTGGTTTTATACTTGTGATAGCCTCAGACTATCCCCCTGTTATTGCTGCCTTCTTGCCACTTGCTCCTTGATGGTTGATGAGTTCAGTGTCTGACCCTCTGAATAAAGCCAGTAAAGGGAGTTCAGGGGCTAGTGTTCTGATGGTGAGGTGACAGACAGTCTACAGTGGCTGTCCTAACAATTCCATCCATTTCTGTTCGGTTCATTGGTTCATTTGTAATTTCTGTTGGACCTAGAAGGCTGATGACACATACCCCTGTATATGTTATTCACTGGTCAGTCCAAGCATTTGATGCAAGTTCTCTTTCAACTACTGGCAGCAAGAGGCAGTGGGGTATGGGGGAAGGAAGGGGGATAGTCTAGTAAGTTATTGGCTGGACTTTAGACAATAGGGAAAGTCTGGAATTGATACTACCATTTGATATCACAAGTGAATATAGGAAGCAAAGAGTTAAAAATAGTAGAGTGTTTTTGAGGTAATAATGCTCCTCTTCTGGATCATTTGTTCTTCTCCACAGTCTCTTTGGAATGAGAGATAGGGTCATTTCACTGAGTATGAAGGCATTCTACTTTAGGCATGTGGAGTGTCAGTCACCCAGCTCTTGGGGGTATGTGTGTGTAAACTGCGCATTTGAGAGAGTGCTAGAGAGGCAGAATCAAGATAATACAGGAGTCCTTGCTCTTCGCAGTAGTGCAGGACTACAAAAATAATGCAAGTTGAAACTGTGCAAAGTGATTTTAATAATCAATGGAAATATTATGATTGTTCTATGATTTTAAAAAATTTGTTAAATATTGAAAATGTTCTAACTGCTGATTACAAACATTAGGGAATTAAAAGAAGTAATATTTTGTAGTGCACTATAATTGAAAACATTAGAAATGCTGAGGATTAAAGAATCTTATTTTTTGGTAAAAAAAAAAAACTTTATCAGGATTAGTTTAAGCAGTACTTGCCCACTTTTTGTCATATTACTGACAATGCAGAGGGGACACCGTTTTCATGCCCTGCCAGATCGTCCTGCTGTTTCCTAAGTCTGGGTCAGCTTCCAGCACTTTATCCTTTGTGCTTTCAGTGTTGTGAAGTATCTCTGAAAATTCTTTAAATGTGTAGTATTGTGCGGGTGTCACTGTCTCCGAGGCAAATTCATCCTTTCTGTCACAGCTGTGCTGCTCATTTATGCTGATAAATTTGCCTTCACTGAGTTCTTTCGGTTACGCATCCCGATTCTCTGTAATGGTGGCAGTGTCATCGTTCCTGCGGCCAGCAGTTTCTTCTGTTGCTCTACCTGCGTTTGATTCAGATTGCACTTCCAGCATGATCACTTTCAGTTTTTCTGCTGCATTTTCATCTTTGTTGACAAGTTCCCTGAGAGATGAGGAGACTGCACAATGGCACACTTCGCTGTCTGTGTGTGAACTTAATAGGTGCACAGTGTCGAGTCACCAACAGTTTGTGAAAGCTGTGACCTGATTGGTCACTGATCATGATTCATGTCTGTCATTTGCATAGTGATTCTGGATTAAAGAGCTAGCAGTAAAATTTGAATTCTCTGCAGTTATAGTTAATATGCCATGCAGACCAAAATTTGAACTGTGTCATTGATACTGTTTAACCAAGTCACGATGGCTGAGATTCATGCATATGAGGACTGTGCAAAGCAAGGGCTGCCTAAACAAATGGCCTTCCACATACACGGTGCTGATCGTGTGGGATTTCTGTAGTAGTGACAGTTTTGTTGGGTGTGCTGGTAGTAGAGTAGGCTCACTGTTTTTAAGGATTTTTAGAAGTAACTTACAGAATGTAAATGTTTATTTGCTGTCTGTTTCGGGACAGACTAGGTTATGCTGTGGTATAACAAATCTCAGCACTCTTGATCCTTCCATCGCACATGGGCTGGGAGGGCAGGGGGAAGACAGAAGACTGTTTTCCTTGTCCTCACTCTGGGACCCAGGCTGAGGGAGGCTTTTATACAATATTTCTGTGTTTTTATACAGTAGTTACTGAGACAGGAATTGGGAACATGAAAAATTGCATGCTGTTTCTTAAAGTACACCCAGAAGTGATACATCCCATTTCTAATCACATTTCAATGGCCAAAACAAGTCGCATGGTCATGCCTCAAAAGAGGTAGAGAAGCACAATGCTGCCCTGTGCTTAGAAGAAAAGAATGTTGGGTGAGCAGCACTAGTGACTAGTATAGTATCTAACAAGTTAATTTAAGGGGAGTTAATCTGAAAAGGGCAATTGAGGTTTGGGGTTACAGACATGTAATCTGTTACGTGTTAGATTGTCTCTGTCTGCCAGTGAGAGAATAGAGCTGAGGCCAAATCATGTGTTCTAGCATCCAGGACTCTGGACTCTGTGATTCCATGAAAGTTAGGGTTGGAGGCCACGATGGAGCCAGGAGGTTGTAATGGAGACTAGTTGGACCATAAGGGTCAAGCAGAGCGGTGGACAGAGCCCTGGCGACCAGAGCCTCTTCAGATGAGAGCTGCGACGGTCTGCCACTGTGAATGACTTCAGCTCTCTTGTGGTTTTTGAGCCTCTGTGCTTTATTTGAATTTAAGTTGGTAACATCTTCAGGGGGTTTTCCTATTTTACTGTTTTGTTGTATTTTTCTTTTTAAAAATTTTTATTGCATTTATTGGGGTGACACTGGTTAATAAAATTACATAGGTTTCAAGTGTACAATTCTAACAGAATAAATCATCTATATATTGTATTGTGTTCACTGCCCAAAGTCAAGTCTCTTTCTGTCACCATTTATCCCCCCTTTACCCACTTCTACCTCCCCCCACCCTCTTTTCCCTCTTGTAATCACCGTACTGTTGAAGTTGGCAATGTCTTTGGAAGTTCTGGGATACTTAACAGAGATGATTCTCAAACTGAGCCTTGAAGGAAATGTAGGCTATGTGCTGGCAGAAGGCATGGTTGGGGCATTCTGGAAGTAAGTGGCAGAGGATGCATAAGTGCAGTCAGAAGTAGGATGCTATGAAGTTGTTAACAATATAGACCTTCTTAAAACAGGATGAAATAAAAGAACCACAGGGAATTAATTGCAGGATGATTGTCATTTAGTTATCACTACTTAATGTTTGCCTTTAACCATGAATATATTAAGCTCTAAAAATCCTCAACAGTGTACTCAGAGGGCCACCTTTGAAGTACCCTGTCTCAGAGTGTCCTGTGTCACTAATGCTTGATGCTTCAATCCACCCCTTACCAAATGCATGTAGAATCCTCCCTAGCTGTACTCACACCTGAACTTCCCATGTTAACCTAAATGTGACCCAAACTTCTTGTCCAAACTTTCTCTACTAATCTGAGTTAGGAGAAAAATTATTTAAGGCATACTTAGTCTAGCAGAAGTCATTTGAGACTGCATTCATGTAGTTCTTGGCATTAAATGGAATATTACTGTGTTTTGCCATGTATAATGCACTCCCGTGTTTAGTGTGCACCTACGTTTTTGGCATAAACTTTCAGGAAGAAAATATTTTGTTTTAGTTTTTAATTCAATTATTTATTTGTTTATATTTAGAAACAAAACCAATGATCATATTCTAGGGTATTATTTTGCATGTGGATATCATTATTGCTTTCTAGAGTTATACTTTTAATGCATAAGCATAAATAAAAAAATGAAAAACATTTATATATGTGGAATGGGTATTATCCATGTATAATGCACATCCTTATTTTTCCTCAGGTCTAAATGTTTCAGTGAACAAAAGGCTTTCCAATCAAACGTCCGTATCCTTGGACACAGCACTTGACTAATCAACTGAATTTAGATTTTTTTACCTGGACGTGTTGATATTATATAGGCTTGCCCTTAGTGTTGGATCTGCTAGACTTTGGGGAACTTCTTTCATTCTTCCAGCTTTCCCTGCTACTTGTGTAAGGGCAGTGCTATCAGAAGGTCTTTGGATTTGGGGAATTGCCCCATCTGGGGTCCTTCTCAGTACAGGGGGTGTGCTCCAGTGGGTCAGCAGGTTTGCCATTTTGCAGCATTATAATATTTCTGTGTGACTTACTGAATTTGGGGGAATGTATTACTAAAAGATGTAACAATCCTTTTAATTTTCCAAACCGTCTGTAACACCAAAAATTCATTAACATTAGGGCAATACACATTCTTCGGCGAGACCAATCAATGTCTTAGAAATGATGAAAGAGTGGAAAAACAATCCAGGGAGTGATGAAGAAAACGCAGCAGAGCAAAAGAACAAGTGGTCCAATCAAGAAAAGTTGCAAGTTTCCCAACTCAGCAGACCCGGCGGAGCTGCCCACGATGTCGCCTCTACCTCAGATGAAGACGAGGAGAAACAGGTAGGAAGAACCAACAGAACCAGTAAGAAGAACAGTTGTTTCTTTCTCCAAACTGTAAAATACCCTTCCAGCGCTTGGAACATTTTGTGCCGCCCTGTCTTTTTTTGTTGGTGGTTCATAACAAAGCCCCTACATGACAAAGCAAGTAAAGTTCTTTCCTCCCTTGAGACCGTCATGATGTAGCAATGTAGCCTGCATGTTGAGGATCCCTGCACAGAGGGGAAGGGTCTGCAAAGGGAGAGATCATATAGATCTTAGGCTGTGGGGGCCACAATACTGTGTCAGAACTTCTCAGCTCTGATATTGTAGCATGAAAACAGGCACAGGCAATTTTAGGACTTAGAAACAGGTGGCCTGTCAGATTTGGCCCATGGGTTAAAATGAACAATTTTTTACTCTACCAGGCTACACAATTTGGAGTGTGTTTATGTATTACTTAGACAAAGAATTATTACATTATCTAGTTAATTGTTTCTAGTTTTTTAATACTTAAAACTACTTATGTAGGTTTATCATGCTGTTTTATTTGATCTAAATAATAGTTTTATTCTTTTTGGTGAATAAATTTTTGTAACATTCTGATTGATTGTAGATTGTGTTCTACTAACTGGGTATTCTCACAATATACCCGAACAGTTTTCTGTGTTTGTGGGGAAAAGTTTTCTGCATGTTTATTTTCTTTTGCGTCTTGAAATCTGCTGAGTGCATTTTAGCTCTCCTTTAATGATTGAGCGCCCTGCCGGTGGCAGCCGTGTTCACCTGAGGGCAGCCCAGACCTCCTGCGGGGAGTTGCTGCTCTTTGGTTCTCAGAGCAGGACTGAAAGGGTGGGGCCTGTCCTCACCCAGCGAGGTGCAGCGCTGCTGGCCCGCACCCTGCATTCTAGGAGTCCCGTCAGAAACTGGCAGAAAGAGACCTAGTAGAGCAAATAATTGATTTTGATGTACTGGTTGGAGCTTCATCTACTTGATAGCAAATGTTTAGATAATAAGCTTAACATGTAATGATTCAGGTATTTTGAAATAATCATATTTTTGCCATAAGGTAAACATAAATTTACTGAGATCCCTCCTTCCTCTGTAGTCTGTTAACGGCTCCTGCAGTGCTTGGCTGCTGTGTGTATTTTCTTTCTTGTTAAAAATGATATTTTAAAAACCCATATCTGCATTTTCTAATTGAATGTAATTTGAAGATTTTCCTGTTAGCTGGCTTAGCATTTTATATACACATGTACATGTGCACATACTGATACATACATATACACATATACACACATCACACACAAACATATATTTACATACTCATACATATAGATTACACATATATACTCCCATGCATCTACATACACTCATATATATATACAGACACATACTTACATACACATGCATACAGACATGTAACCTTTTGAGGTCTTAGGTTATATCTGTATTTGTTTCTGAATCCGGCATGAAATATCCTTGAACCAAATGTTTGGTTGTCTTCCCTCACCTTCCCCCTGCTCTGTCATATATCTGCTCTGTCCTCTGCTTCCCTGTCCAAGTCACAAAGAGATGGGGCTTGCTAAGCTGTTCTCAGCTATGTCCAACTAGGGAGCAGAAGAATTGGAATTTGAGGAGCTTATGGATGATAGAGCTATACCCAGTGGGTTGAAAATTCAAAAATATAGATTTCTACCCAACAGGAAGAACTTGTCCACAATCAGAGCTCATCTGCAATAGAACAGGCTGGACCAGGGAGGCTGAACCACACCTCTCAGTTATTGGAGGTGTTCAGGCAGACTCTGGAAAGCTACTTGCTATAAATGCTATAACAGAAATTCCTGTAAGATGGACAGGACTTTGCCCTGGAAATAAGGAGTGACTAAGGAACTTTCCCATGCCTAAGTTTAGGCTATGATATGTTAGGAGGAATACCTTTTCCTGTCTGGAAATTTTTCTGAAAAGTGTTACCACTTAAAAGAAAGAATTCTTGCCTTGGCCGGGGACCCAGTTGGTTGAAGCATTGTACCATGCACCAAAGGGTTGAGGGTTCAATCCCTGGTCAGGGCACATACCTAGATTGTGGGTTCGACTCCCAGTTGGGGCACATACTGGAGGCAGTCAATTGATCTTTGTCTCTCACATTGATGTTTCTTTCTGTCTCTCTGTCTAAAATCAATAAAAACATATTCTCAGGTGAGGATAAAAATAAAAGAATTCTCATGCATTTAACAAACTAAATTTTTCCCAAGGATTTTTATGAATAAGTATGATACTTTGCTAATTATATTGACTTTATGTTAAGAAATTACTTCTTTGAAATCTTCATTAATGGTGGGCAGTGCTACAGAAAGCTCTAAAGAGAAACTGAAAACAGGGTGACCAGTTACTCTCAAGTCCATACAGGATTCATGCAGTCATTCGTATTCTTCAGAGTGGAATTTTAATTTTATTGAAATTTATCCTGTGAATATTGAACTACTTCCCATGGGAAAATTTTGTTTGTTAAAATTATATTATTATAGGGACTATATGATATGATGATATGAATAACCTATACCTACTAAATTAAGAATATGTGTATGATTATCTTTCCATTAAAGTCTTTGAAACTTGTCTCTGATTTACACGGAAACCCGCCAGCAGTCCCTACTCTCCGCTGCATCAGTGTTCTCCCTTCTGGAGAACCTTGTAAATACGTTTAGAGCCCTAACGTTGTGTTCTCCCAAGCCAGGAAAATTACATTTTTTAGATAAGTGCCAGAACTCTTGGAAAACTAACAGAGGAAGTGAGGATTTGTTAAAAAACAAAAAACACTTGAGCTAAGCACTTTTTTCTTTCCCTGAGTAACTGCTCCCTGGTTCCAAATGCCGTGGACGTTGTGGGGAACACAGTCTGCATCACGCATCACTTTATCAAACTTGTTTTCACATAGTTGGCCTTTGGCTATGTCCTTTCTTTTTTTCTTCTCATTTCTAACTTTTGGTGTATTTTGGGTAATGGCATTCTTTGAGGACAGAGATGTTCTCTCATGTTTATCTTGTGTTTTGCAAGCTGAGTACATCTGGATAATGTTTTGTGCCATTAGCAACCCTCTGAAGTCCCTACAGTGGGTCCTTTATGTACTCTCAGACCCGAGACTTGAACTTCAACAGCAGCCTTCTCTCCTCTTCAAATGAGATGCTTGGCAGACCATTGATTCTTGCAGGGGCATGCCTTTTCACATTAGGTCTTTAGTGATTTCTGATAAACATTACTGATACTTTCATTATTTATTAAGCTCAGAAAACAATTTAATTGTTTGTATGTCTGTAATTAAAATGCACTTCCTCGTAATCTTAGAGGGAGGGACTAGAAACTCTGGATGTGACTGAAGTACTATATTTGCCTTACAGAATTCCTGCTTCATAAAGGGGATACTGCTTAGTTGTTAACTTATTTATTGAATGCAGTCAAATATATTTGTTTAATGAAAATGGGGAAAATTTTTTATTCTTTTGTGATCATTTTTCTTGGCTGCAAACATGGCCTTTATGGTATCATAGGTGATAGTACATGTAGCAGATACTTCACCCAGTCTGGTAAGCAGAAAGGCAAGGTAGCTTAGAGACTTGGAAAGTTATTTTGATCAATGAAATATATTCATATATTAGTTCTTCAAAGACAGGATGTGTTTGAATTTAAATAACATTGAAATTAAACAGTTGAGTTATGGTATATTGATATGTTTCAATAAGGAAAAAGTCAGGTTTTCGTGGTATTTTAGTTGAGTAGGATAAAAATTTTTCTTTTCTTTACAAATTAAATCTTAGCCCCTGAGCTCATATGAATCTGTGCAGATTTGGTGGTGTTTTCACAATTTGGCATGCTTTTGTTCTCCAATATTGAAGCATTGCAATCTGGTATATGTGTCCAAGCACTGCACTTAAAATATCATGGTGGTTCAAGCCTAAACTCCAAACTGAAGATGTCTGGGTTCAAATCCTGGCTTTACCACTTGCAAACTTTCCAACCTTGGGCAAGTCTGTAGGCCTCTGTTTTCTCATCTGTAAAATGGGATTAATAGCATCAATCAAGAGCTAAATGAAATATTGCATGTAACACTCTTGACATGTGATAAGCACAGATTAATGTGAACTTAGTTTTTATTATTATTATTTTTTAGACTTGCCTGACACCCAGTATACTTTTATTTTTTATTTCATTTTCTTTTTTAAATTATATTTTATTTATTATACTACTACAGTTGTCCCAAATTTTTCTTCTTTTCCTCCTTCCATTATGCTTCCCCATCTCCCTCAGGCAATCCCCACACCATTGTTCATATCTTGGGTCATAACTCACAAAAAACTCACAATTATTAACAACCACACCTAAAACAAAAACAAACTAAGCAATCAACTAGAACAGGAACAGAACCACAGAAATGGACATCACATGGAGGGTTAGCAACAGGGGAGTGGGAGGAGGGGAGAGGGGGAAAAGGTACAGAGACTGAGTAGCATAGATGGTAGGTAGAAAATAGGGGGAGGGTAAGAACAGCATGGGAAATGTAGAAGCTAAAGAACTTATGACACATGGACATAAATTAAAGGGGGGGAATGTGGGTGGGAGGGGGGTACAGGGTGGAGGGGAGTGAAGGGGGGAAATGGGACAACTGTAATAGCATAATCAATAAAATATATTGAAAATAAACAAATAAAAATATTATTATTATTTGTATTTATTTATTTTTCGAGAAGGGGAAGGGAAGGAGAAAGAGAGGGAGAGAAACGTCGCTGTGCGAGAGATACATCGACTGGTTGCCTCTCACATGTCCCCAACTGGGGACCCAGCCTGCAACCCAGGCATGTGCCCTGACTGGATCAAATCAGCGACCTTTTGGCTCTCAGGCCGGCACTCAGTCCACTGAGCCACACCAGCCAGGGCTAATGTTAACTTGTTTTATTATTATATTGCTAAAGAACTTGTATAGAATATTACTAAAATTGCATGATTTTTTTCCTGCCAGTTTCAAGGCTCCT